AAAAAAAAAAAAAAAAATGTTTAGGTCATAAGGCCTAAAATCTATGAATATATTACCTTATATAGCAAAATGGGCTTTATAATGATTGAGTTAAGGATTTTGAGGTTGGGAGATTATCCAGGATTTACAATGTGATCAATCACAGTGGTCCTTGTTAAAGGGAGGCAGGAGGTTAGGAGTTAGAAAAGCAGTTGTGAGCAAAGCAGAGGTTGCAACAATGAGAAGAAAGGCCCATAAAACAAGGAATGCAGGGGACCTCTTGAAGCTTGAAACAGCAAAAAGCATAGATCATACTTTAGAGCCTCCAGAAGAAATGCACCCCTGCCAACAACTGACCTTAGGACTTCTGGCCTCCAGGACTGTAAGATAATAAATCTGTGTTGCTTTGTGCCACTATTTGCAGTGATTTATCACAATAGCAACAGAAAATTACTACAGAGATAAGACACAGAGATTAAGTTATTTTCTAAAAATCACACAGCCAGAGTGGCGAGAAGACAAACTCAAGCAATCTGAATTTAGAAACTGCACTTTTAGTTATTAATGCAAAGTGTGCTTTCAATATCACCCAGTTATTTGTAGGTGATTTCTCTACCTGCATTAAAAACTTTGTATTATCTTTTGTATCTTCAATGTTACAATATAAATGTGTTTTTGTTTGTTTTTCCTGTTTATAATTTATCGTGTTTCATATTTAGAGGCTCCTCAACCTATGATGTGGTAATTTCACAATAAACTCATCATAAGTCAAAAATACCAAAAGTCAAAAACGCATTTACTTCACTGATTTAAGGAAACCCATCATAACATTAAAAAAAAAAATGTTAAGTTGAGCCTTGGTAAATTGGCAACTGTCTGTATATGTGGGTTCATGTTGTATGAACTCCCAGCTAGCCCTTATCAGATACAACCTTTGCTTCATTTTCTAAATCTTCTCTCTTGAACCTCATCCCTTGGCTCCTGGTGTTCATACCCTTTTGTAGTGACTTCCCACTTTGTATCAGGCCCTCACTACCACTCACTCTTATGTGTGCTTGCTCTTTGTCAGTCTATACAGAGACCCAGATGGTGAGATGGCAGTGGAACTAAAGGACCTGCAAAAAGACTTGTGAGTGAAATTTGAAGAAATTTTAGCTTAGTCACATCTTCAGATACTGCTGTCCAAACAACAGCTTGACTGAAAACTGGTTAAGAGATACTGGAGCCAGAAAACCATCTAGTGTTTGTTGCTTGAAGTTGCTACAGTTTGGGATAATGTGTTATGTAGTAGAAGATAATTAGTACAATCTTTTTTTGGGATAATGATTTCAGATGTGCATTAAATCTTATTGCAAGCAATAAGCCACTTTTCTTTTTTCTGCCTATTTCATTTTGTCTGTTTGGTTAATTTCTTCAGATTTGTTTTCCTGCTTACTCTTCAACTGTGTCTACTTTATTAGGTCTTTTTCATTTTAAAAATTATGTGTTTTTAATTAATTAATATTTGATTAATTTTCTAATTAACTTTGCCTTTTAAAAATAATAGTGTTAGCTAATTATCTATATATACTTATATGGACACATATATTTAAATGATATTCTGTATTTGATCTTAAAATATATGAACTAAGTGGGAGCCCTAACTAGTTATTATTACTGCTGTCTCTTAAATCTGGTGGTTTATTTCCCTGTGTGTTGGGTATCTTTATTTGCTGTCTCATATTTTCTTTACCAAGATCTTTGGAATCCTAGGGGCCTGAGTTGGGAAAATTTTTTTCTCCAGAAAAGATTGTTACTTGTCTATGATTAAAATCAAGAATAGTGTCAATCTGGGACCACTTTAGCCTTCTTTGAAAATCATGTACCTAATGTAATAATCTCAGATTCAATTCTTCCACTTGGTAGATGGGCCTGTTATAGTGACAATGTTTCCATCTTCTCTCAAGGTACCAGCCACATATTGTGTGTGTGTGTGAAGGGGTGATTCTTACAGATTTTCTTTACTTCTTAGAAGGCCACAAATATAGGAAAAAGAAGGGCTTATTGAAGATCTAGTTGTTTTTACCAAACTGCTAAAAGAAGACTTTTTCGAAGACTATTTTTTTTGAGAGCAGCTATAGATCTGCAGCAAAATTGAGAGGAAGGTACAGCAATTTCTGGGATATCCTTTATCACACACATGTATAGCCTCCTCCGTTATCAACATCCTCTACTAGAGTGATATATTTATTATAATTAGTGTAACTACGTTGACACATCAAAATCACCCAAAGTCCATAGTTAACATTAGAGTTTACTCCTGGTATTCTATATTCTATGGGTATGGATGAAGATATAATGGCATGTATCCATCATTATAGTATCATACAGAGTATGTTCGCTGCCCTACAA